CATTTTCACGTCCTGCGCCACGTTGTTTAAATAGCAAATGCATTTGCGCCCATTTGTGCGCCCATGGGCATGCTGGTCTGAAAACGAGGTGTGTTCAGGCGCATTGCTGGCGCGTTGCTATTTTGAGGCAACTAAAATAGGCTGCACCTTTGACCAACAAAAACCTGGTCTAAAGTCTGGCACAATATTTATTTATTTATTTTTGTTATTTAAAGAGCGCGTTAGTAATATGTGCCTATAGGCGGGTGCACAACGCGTGTACACTTTGCTTATTACACAAACAGGGATGCGCAGCAGCACACAAACATTTTTAAGATGTACATAAAGGACATAAAGGATTAAAATGTAAAAGATTATTATTGTGTACATAAATATAAAAATGCTTACATGTCATAATGGATAGTCTTTGCATGTATCAGAATTACGCGCACGAGCAGATCCGAGAAGCGTTCAGTTTTTCCGCTTGTAAATTCCGCCATGTAAATAGCGAATCCGCCATGGCGCGAGCGCAACTGGCTTTTAGAGGGAATGGGAGATGAGACTCTAATTGGTTTATGGCACGTTACGCCCAAAACACACCCATTACTCATTAAAAGAATAGGGACAACCCTTTTAAACAATGCGCCCGGCGCGCCGGCCATTTTTCCATCCTTAAACTAGCAAAAGTGGATTCGGACATGCCCTAAACGCAATTGCGCCGTCACTTTAGACCATGCGCTTAGATCGTTAAAATAGGGCCTTTAGTAGCTCACATGTAAACACCAGTTACCAAATGTTGGGGGCCTATCATGTCAGCCAGATGGCCCCTTCCTGTTTAAACGGGTCGTTCTTGGCCAGAAGAGTAAAGTGTACCAGACTACTGATGAAATTCAAAATTCTGACTGATTAATGAGATTAGCTTATTAGTTAAAACTTCAGTTTTGTTGGTGCCGACATATTGTGCCATTGCGTCCCGAGTTCGAGTCTGTCTACCGTTTGTCCTATCAAAATAAAGGTAATAAACATTAAAAAAAAATTCTGTTTTGACTCACAGATACTATTGTTGTGGGTATTTGTTTACAAAACCTAGTAAGCTGCCTACATAGACAGCATTTGATGTGAAGTCTGTTCTAAAGAGTTAAATTATACCTATACTAAATTGAAGATTTTTTAAACAGTGTTTGGGTGTGTTATGTATTTTTATGCTAAGTGGAGTATCGTGTTAGCATAGCATGTGCTAATGTAAACATGCTAACTTCAAATGTTGATGGAATACATATACATAGAGTTAGGGTTGCAGAGGATCTGAAAACTGTTGATAAATTTAGAAAACTTTCTAGAATTTTTGGAAAGTTTCAGGAAATGTACCATCCCTTTGCAACCCTACATAGAATACATGACTACTTTTGAATGATTGTCATTGGAGAAAAAAATCAGTTTGTAATTGTGTAGTTACAGTATCTGCCAGCAGTGGCTGACTGTTGATGCTAACTAACCAAACCTTGACCCTCTGCATACCACTGACTAACAAGAACAACTAATTCTGGTTTATGGCTGCAATGTAAGTTAAAGGCTATGGCTGTTTTATTCAATATGTCCCATACAGCTTGCTGTTTAAATAGGACATATAATAGGAAAACCTCATCAAGGTTCTATAAATTGTTAACGACTTGGCTGTAATTTGCTCAAAGTCATAAATCATTGTTCTTAATAGTCCAAAGTGAGTAAACGCAGAGACTTTACTTTAGTGAATGCTTTTTGACATAAATTAGTATTGCTTTTTGCTGCCAACTTACACTAGCTTTTTCAAATTAAAGCCAATTTAAATCTGACGGCCTTAACCTAACTTGACAGATACCTGAATAAATAAATGCCATGCAAACGTTGATTTGAGCTCATTTTCTTGATTTTTGGCTTGTTCTGTTTAGTACAGGCTGGTTTTAGACAAGAGAATAAACAGGCGGTTATATTGCAGTGTACTGCGACATGCTCTTTCTCTCTTTTCACACTCTCTCTCCATCTCCGTGTCCGTGTGAGCTCATCTTAGCGCTTTGTTCTCTCTAATTCTTGTCAAGCTCACAGCCCACCCTTTTCTCAGAATCACCTGGTAGTTTTGCAAATTAAACTCATGTGGAGTTAAACTTTCTGTGGAGTATTGAGGTGGGTACGTTTAGAAGTTGATTAAAATTGAATAAATTGCTTAGTCTTTTGTGTTTATCATTGCATATATTATATGTTTGAAGGTTTCGTCAAATTTCGCGATATGTCAAAATATCATCATTATATTTATGGAAATGTCACTTATATGTACTTTGTTTGATTCACATGTCAAACGCAATATAATTGGCAGTTTCCTGCTGGAAATTCTTAGCAGGCCATTTTAGATTGAATTTAAAGCAGCATGGGAAGATTGTTTTGCGATTCAGTGGCAGATGTGCTGATTGGATCAATTACACCATCAAGGAAGAGTGAATTACAGGAGGCAACTACAAAGCGACAGGAGGCTGGGTGGATGCATTGCTGTGGTGTTGCTTAGCAACCATCCTCCGGATAAGGAGGATGGTGGTGATGCAGCATAAATATGATTGGCTAGAAATTACATCATCCTATTCTGGATCCAGAAGGCTCATGCTTATAGTGTAATATTTGTGGACAGTGAGAGTCCAGAATGAAAAGGACTTTATGTCATTAGATGGAGCTGCACACACACACAGCAGGGGTGTGTGTGAGCTCTAAAAAAACAAGAGAGCCTACGTTGTTCTATAAATAACAGGCACATTTATATATAAATACCCTGGCTCTTTTACCGGGTACGTGAATCCTTGAGACGGGCATCTGCTGCAAGATCAATATATGTTTGGCAGTTACTGCTCATTTCCCTATATAGATTTCTGCCTCGGTCACAGGACAGTCAATTAGCTTTACGTGTCATCTGATGTAAAGATTTTTACTTGAATTAATATATTATTATAACTTCAATGTTAATTCCCATTAAATAATATTCAATTGTTTAAATTATTTATATTTATGAAAACACATTTTCTTTAGGTAAAATGAAGTAAACCTTAAATTAAATGAAATCATATTATATTATTAATGAAGAAATGAATAAGGCAGGTTTGTTAGGGTACCTCTGACACTTGCTGATTTTTTATCATTAAAAGCAATGAAACTGAAATTGCTGGTTAATGTCACAAATAATTACAAAGAAATGGTAGCACATTGAATTAAGCATGAATCATTGTTTAGAACATACATAAAATTTCATATGTAATTCAGAATGGTTCTTGCCATTTCTTTGTAATTATGTGTGACATTTACTAGCAATTTCTGAGTGAAAATTGTTTACTTAAAGCTTTTTCCAAGTAAATTCTACACCAATTTTTATCAGTATGTGGGATGTGAGGACTCTGTGTGTGTGTGGGTGTGTGTGTGTGTGTGTGTTTGTGAATAGGCCTGTTGTTGTTACTCAGGGTGCTTAGAGACTGGTTTAGTATTCCTGTCTCTCTGACAGTCGTGACTGCAGGGTGGAAATCATAAAAAGAAAAAATCCCATTTTATTTCAGTTTTGTGTGTATGAGAATAATACAGAATAATTCTCTATATTGTGGTATTTTTAGTTTTAAATACCCACTTGAGAATGCATTGTGTGCTAGTCACTTAAGAAGCACTCAATTTAAGCATTTCTACGAAAACCGAATGAGTGAATGTCAAGAACATTCTCTCTCTCTCTCTCTCTCTCTCTCTCTCACACACACACACACACACACACACACAAATTACAGTACTAAAAAAATCGAATAATGGAGTAAAGACTGGATCCTCATGAAAGCATTTTTACCCATAAATAAAAATTTTGTAATTGTTTACTCACTCTCACTTTGTTACTTGTATGAATGACTTTCTTTCTTCTGTGGAACTTGAAAGAAGATATGTTGCTAACCAAACAATTTCGGTTCCCATTGACTTCTGTTGTATGGATAAAAAATGCAATGGAAGTTAATGGGAATCGGAACTGTTTTGTCACCAACATTCTTCAAAATATGTATTTTTTATGTTCCATAAAAGAAATTCCTACAGGTTTGGAACAACACGAGAGTGAGAAAATGATGACATTTATGATGATGTAGATAGATGGTGATTTCAAACAGCCTCTTGCCATTTTTGTGAGTAATATACAGCATTGGGTGAATGAACAGACAGCGTGTTGTCGAGTAACCCTGCTTTGAGAGTGACGTGTCTGAATGTGTCTGTGTCCTTTCTGCTGACCAGATTACCAGCGGCTGATGACGGTAGCGGAGAGCATCACAGCTTTAATGTTCCCCTTCCAATGGCAGCATGTGTTCTCTCTCTCTCTCTCTCTCTCTCTCTCTCACACACACACACACACACACACACAAATTACAGTACTAAAAAAATCGAATAATGGAGTAAAGACTCGATCCTCATGAAAGCATTTTTACCCATAAATAAAAATTTTGTAATTGTTTACTCACTCTCACTTTGTTCCAAACTTGTATGACTTTCTTTCTTCTGTGGAACTTGAAAGAAGATATGTTGCTAACCAAACAATTTCGGTTCCCATTGACTTCTGTTGTATGGATAAAAAATGCAATGGAAGTTAATGGGAATCGGAACTGTTTTGTCACCAACATTCTTCAAAATATGTATTTTTTATGTTCCATAAAAGAAATTCCTACAGGTTTGGAACAACACGAGAGTGAGAAAATGATGACATTTATGATGATGTAGATAGATGGTGATTTCAAACAGCCTCTTGCCATTTTTGTGAGTAATATACAGCATTGGGTGAATGAACAGACAGCGTGTTGTCGAGTAACCCTGCTTTGAGAGTGACGTGTCTGAATGTGTCTGTGTCCTTTCTGCTGACCAGATTACCAGCGGCTGATGACGGTAGCGGAGAGCATCACAGCTTTAATGTTCCCCTTCCAATGGCAGCATGTGTACGTGCCCATCCTGCCCGCTTCACTGCTCCACTTCCTGGATGCTCCTGTGCCCTACCTCATGGGTCTGCACTCCAACGGCCAGGATGACCGCACCAAGCTGGAACTTCCCCAAGAGGTGCGTGACACACACTCACTCCCAGAGAACCGACTCATCCTGCAGTTTAGTACAGTTTATATATACTGTGAAGTTGTGGTGAAGCACAATTTTCTGCAGCCATTACTTCAGTCTTCAGCGTCACATGATCCTTTTGAAATCAGTCTCTGATCAGTCTAATGTGCTGATAATATGCTGGTTTTGTTCAAGAAACATTTCTTATGATTATTAATGTTGAAAACAGTTTAACACCTTAATATTTGTGATTTTCAGTGTGTATTTTCAAAAAATTTTATCAGTAGAAAGTTCAAAAGAAGAGCATTTATTTGAAAAAAAAAAACATTTTATATGTGTATATATATATCTTCTCAAAACTATCTGCAATTTTTCTATTGGGGCATAAAACAGAGATGCTATTAAAATGTCTTTTAGCAATACGTGATGTCCAAATAATGTTAGTTGAGTATTATATACTGTATACCATATATAGCTATAATACTATAGAAATATGAAAGAATAGTAATATCTCCCTTTGAAACCCTTCTGGCCTTCTTCATCTACCTTAAAAAAAAGTCAGCTTTTCATGTGGAGTTCCCTTTTTCCTTTGGAGTAAATCTTCTATCAAACATTTGTCAGCGACAGTGGCACCTTTCTTCTTTTAGTGCTTATGAAAGAAATCACCAACGTGCAGGAAAAACCATCTCTGGTGGATCACTGCAATGTGCCCTTTTAAAAAATGTACTTTGTCTTTGGTTGGTTAGTTTGTCCTCTGGTAAACAGAGATGGAAGTTCATAATCTCTCTTTTACATAATCTCATAGATCAATGTTTGTAATGAAATGACTCTTGTACCCTTCAGGCCAACCTTTGTTTTGTCGGCCAGGATGACCGCACCAAGCTGGAACTTCCCCAAGAGGTGCGTGACACACACTCACTCCCAGAGAACCGACTCATCCTGCAGTTTAGTACAGTTTATATATACTGTGAAGTTGTGGTGAAGCACAATTTTCTGCAGCCATTACTTCAGTCTTCAGCGTCACATGATCCTTTTGAAATCAGTCTCTGATCAGTCTAATGTGCTGATAATATGCTGGTTTTGTTCAAGAAACATTTCTTATGATTATTAATGTTGAATTGTACCCTTGTACCCTTCAGGCCAACCTTTGTTTTGTCGATATTGACAATCACTTTATCGAGCTACCTGAGGACCTGCCTCAGTTCCCCAACAAGCTGGAGTTCATCCAGGAGATCTCGGAGGTTCTGTTGGCTTTCGGCATATCTTCAGAGGCAAAGCCACAGTGCAGCGAGGGCCAGAGCAAGCTCAGGGTCTTCCGCTCGGGTGACATGGCTTCTGACAAGCGCAACGGCAACCTGGCCGGCTCGCCGCTCAACTCGTACTTGCTGAGAGAAAACCAAACCATAGCTCGTCTGCAAGCGCTGGTCAAGAGGACTGGAGTCAGTCTGGAGAAGGTGAGCATGGGAATGAGGACACAATGCACGCCTAACACACATAATTGACTCAAACAGTGTTAATTATAGTTCTTGAAAAGTTTGTTATGGTCCTTTAAAGCAATGTTCTGTAATATATACACAGATTTTCTGTGATAATCAACAACAAGCCACAGGTGCCAATTTCAACTTGTCCCTTTGTTATCACAAATTTATGAAAAACATGTTTTTAGCTAGCAGGCAAGTGAGTAGCCATTTACAATGTTTGATTATCACACTGATAGGTATCCACATTAGGATAACATAACAAGGACTTGGAAGTGACGTGAGCACGTTTTTTATAGAGTTACTTCCTTGCATTGACAATTTAAATGTGCTATTATTTTGCTCATTGCGTCCTCCTGTGGCCTCGGGAGCCAAGACAAAAGTTTCCTTAAGACCTATTTAATCTGCATATAAAACATTAGAAATGGGATATTTGTTTAAATTTTATTTTGTGTTTGACTGTTAAAACAAAAAATATTAGTTGTTTGTCTCAATAAATTGGGTTAATTTAAAAATACAGTGGTTAAACGTTTTTTTCTATTGCTCTTTGTTTTAAAAAAGGTTATAAAAAATGTAAATAATTATCGATACCGAACGATATGAAACGTTCGTGAAATAAAAATGTGTAAAGCACTATTTACAGCACTGTTTCTTGTGCGAATTGTATAATTAATACATAGAAGTTTATCCGCCTCAAAAAAAAAAAACATCTCAAAATTATAATTTAAACTACTTAATAAAAATAAAAAAAATTTTAAGAATAAAAAACGCCCTTAAAAATCCACCAAATTCTGGGTGCATCCCAATTCACATACTTATACTACACACTAAAGTTATGCAATTTGCTTGCAATAGGAAAGTATGTAATAAAACAGTATACCGGTACCATCATAAAATTATGGGTTACTCTTTAATTTAAGGTGTCCTTGTTACAGTGTAATTTTACATTTAAGTACTGAGTAATATTAATTAACTACATGCACTTACTTTATGGTTAGGGTTAGGATTAGGGTTTGTCTTAGGGTTACTTGCATGGAATTATGCATAATTAATTGTTATTATAATAGTAAGTACATGTAACGTGTAACAAGGACACCTTAAAATAAAGTGTTACCAAATTGTATATTATTAATTTATTACAATAATGCATTCATTATTAATTTATTACAATAAGATGAACAAATGGCTGTTAAGACTGAGCGTGCTCTGTTCTGATTCTCAGAAAGCTTGAGGTCTCTCTCAATGACATTAAGCAGCTAAAGACCAGGGATTGACCCCTTACTCTTAATATAGTTTGTCACAGCCTTAAAGCTGTACTAGTTAAATTCCATCATACTGACTTGATATTCAGTGATTCCCATGTTTAGAATGAGCTGTCAGGCACTTGATTGCTTTCCTTGCTCTCTGTATATTGCCACTTGCTCTATATGGTTATATTCTCTTGGGAAAGAGCCTCACTTGCTTCATAAATCAAGGCAGATTTGTAGACTTCCGTTCCCAGCACTCCCTGCTCTCCATTCAGGGTGTTACCATGGAGAATAGATAATTCAGATCAGGTCTGAAAGCTGTGTGCTGATATTCGCTGCCACATTTTCCCACTCTCTTTTTCGTCCTCTTTTAACTCATTCCTTCTCTCTTAAAGTTGACATGAAATGGAAATTCACCCTATTTTCTAAATGCTTGTTATTGATCTAATTCGGAAAAATTCATTCATGTTTCATAACTTTCATTCAAAAAAAAAAAAAAAGAATTGAGCTTATACCTTTTAATAAAATGTGATAACTCTTGAAACGTCAGAATCCTCTCTGGTGATGTACGCTGGGCTTCTCCAATCATTCAGGCTGCTTAAACCCCGCCCATTTCTTACAGTTAAAGGGATAGTTCACCCAAAAATGAAAATTCTGTCAGGTAAAAGCATGCATATGCGTTGTGATACTCTCTAAAATGGCGGAAGATGGTAACTCTGGGGAGAAGAATTGTAGAATAAAGTCATTATTTTAGTTTTCTTTGTGCACAAGAAGTATTCTCGTAGCTTCGCAAAATTGAAGTTGCACCACTGATTTCACATGGACTGTTTTACCGATGTCCTTACTACGTTTCTGTCTGGGAACATTTCAGTTGCGTTGCTGTCTATGGAGGGTCAGAGAGCTCTCAGATTCCATCAAAAATATCTTAATTTGTGTTCCGAAGATGAACGAAGGTCTTACGGGTTTGGAACGACATGAGGGTGAG